ATTCTATTAATTTTTAAAAATAATTGAATTACTACACAGAATTTCATTGAAATTTTTGAAAATAATTTTTTTTTTAAAGAAATTTAATTAAAAATGTATTGACAATAATAATTAAATTCTAATAAATAAATTATAGGAAGGCTTTTTAAAATAATTGAATTTCTTTGAGGAATTTTAATAAAATTTTTAAGAATAATTATATTTTTCGAGGAATTCTATTAAAATTGCATTAAAAATAATTGAAAGTCTGCAATGTGTTTTATTATTTAATGAAAATAATTGAATTCCAAAAAAGAATTTTATTATTTATGAAAATAATTGAATCCCTGTAAAAAATGTTCTTATTAAAAAAATAATTTCTAATTAATTCGATTCCTGTGAAATTATTAGATATTTATGAAAATAACTAAATGTTTGCGTAGAATTTAAATAACATTTTTTTTAAAAATTGAATTCTTTTTCGAAATTTTTCACGATTTCGATCAAAATTCCCTGACTTTTCCAGGTTTTTTCAAGGTTTATAAAATTCCCTGACATTTTTAGGTTTTCCAGGTTTCCAGGTTGTAATATCAGATTAGTATAATCATTCCAAAATTTCTGAGTACGAACGAAACTTAAACAAAGTTCGCCATATTGGATCCGCCATTTTGAATTTTGTGAAGCTAAACATAAAAAGAAGTGACCTTAAATTATTATAACTTAATAATTCGTTTTCAATTTATTTTCAATTAATAATAATAATAATAAATCGAATGATTGAAAATGAAAAAAATTCAATGACTTTTGCAAAAAAGAAATATGAATAAAAAATGAATAGGTGGGCTTATATGATTGAGAATCACTGACCTATTCGATAGGATCGCGTGGGATTAGACTGGTGAGTGGCGAACTCACTGATGAAGCTGATGAAATGATTGAGGAAATCTTTATATGTGACTGATGTGCCAGTGCAAAATATGTAGCGCCTCCGACATTCCAATTCATAGTCGATTGAACTTGGGAGGGCTTAGTTAGTACACAAAGCACGTATGAATCTACCCAATTGCACTAACCGAGATTTAGATGGGAGGTGTGAATCATATCAATTTAGAGAGAGAGAGAGAGATAGAGAAATTGCACCGGCAGAGATTTCATTTCAAGATATATAGCTCTATATTTATTGCAAATTTTCGCAAAAGAAATTCAAAAACTAAAATTACAAAAATTTCACATTGTAATTTTATAATTAAAAGTTATTTTTATTTAATTTACTATTTATTTAAATAAAATCAACACACAGAAAAAACGATAATCTAATTTTAAGAAGAACCTACCTTAATAGGAGCCAAGAATATTCCCTACTCAAATTAAGTGGGGTCACTTAATTTAAGTCGGGACACTTAATTTAAATAGGAAATATTCTTAATTTTAATAGGGCACCACTTAATTTAAGTAGGGAATATTCTTAATTTTAGTAAGGCACCACTTAATTTAAGTAGGGGCACTTAATTTAAGTAAGGCACTACTTAAATTAAGTGGGGCCACTTAATTTAAGTAGGGAATATTCTTAATTTAAGAAAGTCCCCACTTAATTTAAGTAGGGAATATTCTTAATTTTAGTAAGGCACCACTTAATTTAAGTAGCGAATATTCTTAATTTTAGTAAGGCACCACTTGATTTAAGTAGGGACACTTAATTTAAGTAAGGCACTACTTAATTTAAGTGGGTCCACTTAATTTAAGTAGGGAATATTCTTAATTTTAGTAAGGCACCACTTAATTTAAGTAGCGAATATTCTTAATTTTAGTAAGGCACCACTTGATTTAAGTAGGGACACTTAATTTAAGTAAGGCACTACTTAATTTAAGTGGGTCCACTTAATTTAAGTAGGGAATATTCTTGGCTCCTATTTAAGTAGGTTCTTCTTAAAATTAGAGTATCGTTATTTCTGTGCATCAATGAACAAAATTGTAAAATTCTTGAGAAATTTCTCCAAAACTCTTTCAATAAGCAATAGAGATATGAATGAAGGTAACTTTTTTTTTCTTTTTCCATTATTCTTTTTTCCTCTCACGCGGCGAGGTCATTAGCTCAGTCTACGCGGTTGTTCTAGATCTTGATCAAAAGAATTTTTCTCTAGAAACACGAGAATTTCTGATTGACAAAGGAGAGCGAGTTAAATACCATTGCATTGCGCGCAGCTTTCCCTCAAAGGAGGGGCTTCTCCTCTCACAGTCGGTCCATCTAAGGAAGCTTGCGACAAGTCTTTAGTAGGATTGGTATTTTTGCAAACTCGAACACACATATTCGAGTGGTTTCAAGCAGCGAAGTTGCCTTGAACTTGATATCTAGGCTTCGCAGACATTCATTACTCATCATGTCACAAGACAAGATTCACTCTATCTCATGGAACTTACAGATTATTTTACACTATTAAAAATCATTGAATTTATCACTTTGAGAACTTTTATTTTGCAATTTACAAGACATTTAATTTTAATTTATCGTCAATGACTATAATTTATGTAATCCACAATTTACCCCCGTGGAAAAAAACAATAAATAAATAAATAATGGAAAAAATCGAAAATATATATTCGTGAAAAAATGTTTATATGATGGATAGGTGGAGGGAAAATAAAACAGTCGTCTCATTGAGGAGAACTTTCTTACAACAAGATTGATGGATTTCTGTTTTGTTACTTTCATTTTTGTGTGACAATTTATAATTTTTGCAGATATTAAAATAATTTACCATTTTTTTTTGGTTCAGAAAATTTTGTTGAACTAATGGAAAATTTGTTTTTATCAAGAAAAATTGTCTTTCAATTTTAAGCAAACTAATTTTTATCTAATCTCTTATTGAAATTTATTCCTTTAATTTAAATTCTTTCCTATTTTTTAAACTTCATTGAATTATTTTTTTTATCATTATATTTAATTAATATTGAAATTCAAAATCGATCTAAAAATCAAAATCAAAGTGAGATTTGAATTTAAAGTAAGAATGTAAATTACAGTGAAAATAAAAATTAAAGTAAAAAATCAAAATCGAATTCTAAGTAAAAATCATAATCACAGTAAAAGTCATATTCAAACTGTAAATAAATATTAAAATACAACTGAAAATCAAAATTATAGCAAAACTTAAAAATGAAAATAAAAATCAATATTAATATTCAAAATTAAAGTAAATATGAAGATCAAAGTGAGAATCAAATTGAGATTAAATACTGAAATTAAAGAGAAAATAAAAATATAAAAATCAAAGTGTACATATCTCAAAATCAAAATCATATTATAAAAATTAACCTCAAAGTAAAAATAAAAATAAAAATAAAATTCAATAATAAAGCTCAAAATCAACATAAAAAAGCAAAATCCCAATCAAAACAAAATCAAAGTAAAAATCAAATTAAATATCAAAATAAAAAACAAAATTATGAATCAAAATCTAAGTTAAAATCATAGTCACGGTAAAAATCAAAGTTAACCTGTCAATAAAAATTAAAATCGAACATAAAATCAAAATTATAAGAAAAATCGGTCTTACAGTGAAAATTAAAATCAAAATAAAAATTAAAATTAAAATTCAAAATCAAAATTATAGTCAAAATAAAAAGCAAAAGTCAGAGTCAAAATTAAAATGAAAATTAAATCCGAACAGAAAACTTAAAATCAAAGTAAAAAATAAGAATAAAAATAAAATTTTAAATAAAAAAGTCTTAATCACAGTCAAAGTTAAAAACAAAGTAAAAATAAAAATCATTTGCAAATTCAAAATCAAATTAAAGTGAAAATCAAAAATAAAGGAAAAATCAAAGTGTATATCAAAATCAAAATCATATTATAAAAATCAATCTCAAAGTAAAAATCAAAATAAAAATAAAATTCAATAAGAAAACTCAAAATTAAAATTATAATCAAAATAAAAAAGCAAAATCATAGTCAAAATCAAAGTGAAATTCAAAATCAATATTACAGTCAAAATAAAAAGTCAAATTCAAAGTCAAAATCAAAATCAAAGTGAAAATCGAAATTAAACCCTAACAGAAAACTTTAAATAAAAGTAAAAAAATGAAGGTCAAAATCAAATTTAAAATAAAAAAATAAAATTCATAGTAAAAATTAAAAACAAAGTAAAATTCAAAATCATTGTCAAATTAAAAATCAAAATTATAGCCAACATTAAAATAGAAATAATAATAGAAAAATCATAGTAAAAATTAAAGAAAAATTCAAAATCAAAATTATAGTCAAAATAAAAAGCAAAAGTCAGAGTCAAAATGAAAATGAAAATAAAACAGAAAACTTAAAATCAAAGTAAAAAATGAAAATGAAATTAAAATTTTAATTTAAATAAAAAAGTCAAAATCATAGTCAAAATTAAAATTAAAAATTCATATTATTATCAAATTCAAAATCAAACAAAAATCAAATTTGAAATTCAAATGAAAATCAAGATAAAATCGAAAGTTAAAAATTTAAAATTTAAAATTGTAATAAGGTGTACCTAATTTTTTTCTTATTTCTCAAATAATCCCTTTGATTTCTCTCTCCGATTAAATACGAAAAACAAATTCCACCGAAAAAGATCCCTTATACTCGAATTATAAACGAAAATATTGCAAAATAAAGCAATTGACCGCCTTTTATGCCTCCAGTAAACATCAATTACATGGTTTGCATATTATAGTAATAAAAAAATTGAAGCACTCCAATATTGACGAGGTTGAAATATAAATTTAATTTCCACGAGGTGGATAATATTTTCAACCGAAACTGATCCGACGAATCAAATATCTTCGGTTTTTCGGGTTTGAAATCACTTCCAACAGCAGCAGCAGCAGCAGCAGAAGTAGCCGCCACTAACTTTTTTTATATACACACAACTTGGTCGTTCCAAGAATATGTCAGAATATAAGTTAAATCGCTTCCACATTATGAGTACTGCTGCTGCTCACTGCTGCTGCAGTACATATTAAGCTCCAGGAGTTCTTACGTGCACAAGTAATCGACAGTGTATCGAGTTCAGTGACGTCATAATTTAAGCGGATTCGGTTAATGGGAGAACGTTGTCGATAAATATCAAAAAGGAAGAAGAAAAAAAAGAGGAAAAATTGTCGGTGAATCCTCTTATACAGTTTTATACATCCGCATATGTAAGATTGAGATCCAATGCGAATATGAACTCTTTATGTGTGTCTTTAGTCGTATGAACCATCAGAAGTCCATTAAGTAGTACTTAAAGTATGTGTGGGCATTTATATACACTCGTCCGTGTCCTCCCACGTGGGTCACGCCTTTCGGAACTATTGCCGAAAGAAAAAAACTTAGTTGCACATATTTTTCATTTTTCGAGTTCAATTTCTTCTTTTATTTCAGAATCATCCTAATTTAGTTTTGATTTATAATTTTTTAAGTAACTAACTTTTCTATACAAATTAATGATTTGTCGACTATTGTCAAGGTTAATTTTATTTGTTTAATTGCAAAATTCCTAGGGTTCAGGTTGACGATGAATAAAGTTTGGAGAGTTAGCGTTGAATTAAAGGGAAAAAGTTATAATTCTTTAATTACTTTTTTAAAAGAAAAACCACAAAATTGGAAAAATTCAAAATTCTAAATCCAATTGTTGAAAAGAGACAAATTTTTGTTCTCCAATTTTCACTTTTTGTTTGAAAATTTTTTGACAACATTGTTGAACATTGTTAATTAATGTTTGGCTGTTATCTAATTTTGAAAATTAAGAAGTAAACTTTTTTTTCCCCTTGAGTTTCAGAGAGAATAATTTACAAGCTCTTTGATCGGGACATTTTTCTCGGAAGCCCAACATATATACCTGAATCATAATATTCCAATTGGTAGCATCTGAAATCAGCCTAATGGATTTCTCGCCGAACCTGCTCCTGACAATAATTATTATGCGAACTGGTTTCTCTCAGTGAAAATTGGGTTACTTAAGTGCGGGTGTCACAGAAACTTCACGAGTCCATTAAGAGTCCAAATCAATCTCATTAGGTCATCAATCACACTCATTTCCATGTATAGAGTATAGATGCAATTCAATCATATACTGTCAAGCTAATCAATCGCTTTAATCGAAAAAACAATTATTGTTTATTTCTTCAAAATTATTCTATTTATTCCTCTAATTATTCTAGGAACAATAATAATTGCTTTTAAAATTTTTTCTTGATACTCAACAAAATTTTGAAATTAGGTAGAAGCGACGAAAAAATCATCACTCAATGATATAGAAATTATTTAATTTTCAAGTATAAATAAAATAATCATAAAAAATAAATCTTGAGGTCAGTTAATTTTAATTTCATTAAAAATTTATTATTACCGTTAATTAATTTCGACCTAATTAATCGACAAAATTTCGTTTAGTTTTTTAGTTATTTTTTAAAATTTGTCATTACTTCAATCAGAATCGTAATTATTTACTTTCACTAATTGCATGAAGAAAAGAAGTCAAAATTTTACTGACAAGTTGTTAATTGATTTTAAATTAATCCAGCTAATAATTTCATTAGTAGTAATTAATAAAAATAAATTTTTCTCTTTCAGAAAATCATGGGACGAATTCGAACTTTTGGAATTATTCAGCATAGCATATCAAAAGGGTGAGTTTTAAAAAGAATTTAATATTTGAAAATTGTACAATTTTTTCAAAAACTATATAAAATTACAAACATTGAGATTTTCAAAAAAAGGAAAGTAATTAAAGTAACTTTCCTGGAAAACTTCAAAAGATTCTAATCAAAAGCGATGAAATAATTGATATGTACACAAAAAATATGTTTTTCTGGAATTATATAATTATTTCGAAATATTTCTCCAAATTCTTGGAAAATAAAAAAAGAAAATATTGTATATCAGGATGGATGCCAAAAACAGCAAATTCATGGAATACTTCCAAATAATATGCTAAAACCGCGTGTATTCGTTTTTGGTGTGAGGTAAAGTGATCTTGACCTTTAGCGTGGTCATAAAATTCGAGATTTATGAATAAGGTTTCAATCTTTGTGAAAATAGATTTCTTATAATATTTACGAGTATTGCTTTTCAATTTGTAAATCCTTTAGGAGTATTTTACATTTTTTTGGGTTTTTTTTTTCTTTTGAACGAGCTTTTAAGCTAAAAGGGAAAATATTTTGGAAAGAAAATACAAAGTTCAAGTTCAAATCAAATGTTTTAAACAACTTTTGGGAAATAGCAACTATTTATAAATAGTTACTACAGTGATTGCTAATGTAAATAAAATTCTATTTTTTTATTTATTTAATTAAATATTAAATTCTATGCAATCTAAATTAAATAATAAATTTCTATGAAATAATTTTTTAGGGTGCAATTAATTCTTTTAAAGACGCAGAAATGTTTTATAATTTAAACAAACGTCACTGAAAATCATTACGACTTTTTTTTTAATTTCAACTTCAATTTTTATACAGATTTTCAATGATTTTTAGATAAGTTAAAAAACTATCATTAATTTAAATTTAACTGACTTTTAGTTACCTTCGTCTTACTTTAAGTAAACTCATTGCTCTTAAATAAAGTTTAAATCTCTTTCATTAAATTTTTGTTTTTGATTTTTTTAATTTTCTTCTATAATAAACAACAGAAAATGAAAATCGAAAAATATAAATATATAAAAACAATAAAATAGAAAAATAGTAAAATTATAAAAATAAGGAAAGAAAACTTTTTTTTAAAAAAAACGAAAAGAGTCGTGAAAAAATTCATTTATGTATATTTCCCAATATACTGAAATATAGGACAAAATTGTTTTGAATTCGCCTTGTCCCGCGATTGTTTCTCTTCCCCTTTTTTTCTCGATTTTGATAAACATATATATATGACGCTTTTACTTATCTTTTATAATACTTGCTCGACTTCTCGCCTGATCGCATCGATCCTCCAACGAAGACAGGTTCCCCAGTCTCTCATAAAGAGTTCGATGCCCTGCACATATCACGCATACATCGATGAATCATAGCGATGGATGTTTTATTATGCAAATACATTTGCTTTGACACGAAGAGGGATTCGCCTCTGCATATAACGCCGACGTTATAGTTGCTCGTAAACAAAACAAAAAGAAAAAATTCTTTTTTTGATAGTCGTCCCTCAACGCGCGCGCACCTTTCACAGAAAAAAATGGCCTTTCACATTTCTAAAGCCACAATATAAACAAATAAACCTTCGAATTCCAAAACTGAACCCAAAGTGAATTATTATTGCTATTATTGCTTATGAGAAATGGCATAATATTATATTTATGCGAGGGGAAAAGAAAAGAAACCAAAATTTATTATTTTCTCAAGAATTCACGAATTTATCGTTTTTTAATTTTTATATTAGAAATTCATTTCTGTGAAGAAAAAGTCAGGGAAAAAAATTAAATTTTTAGGACAACACTGTTGTTATTTCTGTTATGGAATAGGTCAGGGAAAAATCAGGAAAAGTAGAATTGGTCAGGAAAATCAGAGAAAAGTCAGGGACTTTTATTAAAGTACTGAAAAAATTAAAAGTTTAGAATTTATAAGAAAATTCTCAATTTTTGTGTGCATCATAAATTATGAAATTACCACGAATTCTAATAAAAAATCCTACAAATTTTTCTATTTCTGACAATAATTTCTCACCAAATAACTTAATTATATTGTAAAAGTAACATAAAGTTATTACATAAATAATTTAATCAAGTATTTTTTTTGAAGAACTTTTTTGTTTTTTGTTGCACAACAAACTGTCTAAAAAAAAAGGTTGTTTGTTTTTGCCCAAAATTTAAGGACTAAAACAGAAAAATAGATTTTATTCAAAATTAAAAAAGATACCAAAGTTTAAAAATTTCAAAGACCATAAATCCTACTTTTTTGTACTTTTATGGTAAAAGGGTGATAACTTTTTTGAATTTTGTTTTACAAAAAAGTGCCCAAAGGACAAGTTGTTTGTTTTTGCCCAAAATTTAAGGAATAAAACAGAAAAATAGATTTTATTTAAAATTAAAAAAGATACCAAAGTTTAAAATTACCAAAGAAAATAAATCCCACTTTTTTGTACTTTTACGGAAAAAGGGTGATAACTTTTTTGAATTTTGTTTTACAGAAAAATGCCCAATGGACAAGTTGTTTGTTTTTGCCCAAAATTTAAGGAATAGAACTGAAAAATAGATTTTAATCAAAATTAAAAAAGATACCAAAGTTTAAAATTACCAAAGAAAATAAATCACACTTTTTTGTACTTTTTTGGAAAAAGGGTGATAGCTTTTTAGAATTTTGTTCTACATAAAATTGCCCAAAGTAGAAGTTGTTTGTTTTTGCCCAAAATTTAAGGAATAGAACAGAAAAATAGATTTTAATCAAAATTAAAAAAGATAGCAAAATTTAAAATTACTAAAGAAAATAAATCACACTTTTTTGTACTTTTATGGAAAAGGGTGATAACTTTTTTGAATTTTGTTTTACAAAAAAGTGCCCAAAGGACAAGTTGTTTGTTTTTGCCTAAAATTTAAGGACTGAAACAGAAAAATAGATTTTAATCAAAATTAAAAAAGATACCAAGGTTTAAAATTACCAAAGAAAATAAATCACACTTTTTTGTACTTTTATGGAAAAAGGGTGATAACTTTTTTGAATTTTGTTTTACAGAAAAGTGTCTAAAGGAGAAGTTGTTTGTTTTTGCCCACAATTTAAGGATTAGAACAGAAAAATAGATTTTAATCAAAATTCAAAAAGATACCAAAGTTTAAAATTACCAAAGAAAATAAATCCCACTTTTTTGTACTTTTTTGGAAAAAGGGTGATAACTTTTCTGAATTTTGTTTTACAGAAAAGTGTCTAGAGGAGAAGTTGTTTGTTTTTGCCTAAAACTTAAGGAATAGAACTGAAAAATAGATTTTAATCAAAATTAAAAAAGATCCAAAAGTTTAAAATTACCAAAGAAAATAAATCCCACTTTTTTGTACTTTTATGGAAAAGGGTGATAACTTTTTTGAATTTTGTTTTACAAAAAAGTGCCCAAAGGACAAGTTGTTTGTTTTTGCCCAAAATTTAAGGAATAAAACAGAAAAATAGATTTTATTCAAAATTAAAAAAGATACTAAAGTTTAAAATTACCAAAGAAAATAAATCCCACTTTTTTGTACTTTTACGGAAAAAGGGTGATAACTTTTTTGAATTTTGTTTTACAGAAAAGTGCCCAATGGACAAGTTGTTTGTTTTTGCCCAAAATTTAAGGAATAGAACTGAAAAATAGATTTTAATCAAAATTAAAAAAGATAGCAAAGTTTAAAATTACCAAAGAAAATAAATCACACTTTTTTTACTTTTATGAAAAAGGGTGATAACTTTTTTGCATTTGGTTTTACAAAAAAGTGCCCAAAGGACAAGTTGTTTGTTTTTGCCCAAAATTTAAGGAATAGAACTGAAAAATAGATTTTAATCAAAATTAAAAAAGATACCAAAGTTTAAAATTACTAAAGAAAATAAATCCCACTTTTTTGTACTTTTATGGAAAAGGGTGATAACTTTTTTGAATTTTGTTTTACAAAAAAGTGCCCAAAGGACAAGTTGTTTGTTTTTGCCCAAAATTTAAGGAATAGAACTGAAAAATAGATTTTAATCAAAATTAAAAAAGATACCAAAGTTTAAAATTACTAAAGAAAATAAATCCCACTTTTTTGTACTTTTATGGAAAAGGGTGATAACTTTTTTGAATTTTGTTTTACAAAAAAGTGCCCAAAGGACAAGTTGTTTGTTTTTGCCCAAAATTTAAGGAATAGAACTGAAAAATAGATTTTAATCAAAATTAAAAAAGATACCAAAGTTTAAAATTACCAAAGAAAATAAATCACACTTTTTTGTACTTTTATGGAAAAGGGTGATAACTTTTTTGAATTTTGTTTTACAGAAAAGTGCCCAATGGACAAGTTGTTTGTTTTTGCCCAAAATTTAAGGAATAGAACAGAAAAATAGATTTTAATCAAAATTAAAAAAGATATTAAAGTTTAAAAATTTCAAAGTCAAGAAATCACACTTTTTTGTACTTTTATGGAAAAAGGGTGAAAACTTTTTTGAATTTTGTTTTACAGAAAAGTGCCCAAAGGACAAGTTGTTTGTTTTTGCCCAAAATTTAAGGACTGAAACAGAAAAATAGATTTTAATCAAAATTAAAAAAGATATTAAAGTTTAAAAATTTCAAAGTCAAGAAATCACACTTTTTTGTACTTTTATGGAAAAAGGGTGAAAACTTTTTTGAATTTTGTTTTACAGAAAAGTGCCCAAAGGACAAGTTGTTTGTTTTTGCCCAAAATTTAAGGACTGAAACAGAAAAATAGATTTTAATCAAAATTAAAAAAGATACCAAGGTTTAAAATTAGCAAAGAAAATAAATCACACTTTTTTGTACTTTTATGGAAAAAGGGTGATAACTTTTTTGAATTTTGTTTTACAGAAAAGTGTCTAAAGGAGAAGTTGTTTGTTTTTGCCCACAATTTAAGGAATAGAACAGAAAAATAGATTTTAATCAAAATTAAAAAAGATAGCAAAGTTTAAAATTACTAAAGAAAATAAATCACACTTTTTTGTACTTTTATGGAAAAGGGTGATAACTTTTT